CCCTCTGAGAAATAAAGGATGGAGACACGAGTATGCCAACAAATACTTAATGCAACAGTTTATAGAGACAGATTGTGAGAGAAAGAGAACAAGAAAGAGGAGCAAAGAGGAAACTGAGGGTGAGATTTTGAAATCCTCAATGAAGTTGCAACACGAGTTTGGCATGGCTCAGACTGACGCCTGGAGATCTTCACAGCTGAAATGCTGCCTTCATCATGGAAAAGCCCCCCTGACCTTTTCAGAAGAGGCTGGCCTGGAGCAGAAGAGAGGTGGAGGTAGGCTACCCAGCAGCGCTCACTCGGGCAGAGCTCCCAGCCCCTGTTTTGTCTGAGTTCTGGGTGCAGCATTAAGTTCTTTTGCTGGATAATGTACTTGATGTGTTTGAATTATCACCATGACAAGCTAGAAACCGCAGCTGAGATGCAAACTTTGGCGTGCACTGGGTGCAGGAGCGACTGCAGACAGTCAACCAGCCTCAAGCAGAAGTTAGTGGCAAACTAAAAGTACGTCCGAAAAGAAGTAGCAATAGTTTAAAGCTTGATCAGTCCTCAGTGTGCTAAAGACACTCTTATGAGCAAAATGCAGTCTATCCACGAGTGCCGATTCCCACCTTGATCAGAGCAAGTTTTTATCATGTGGACTCCCAGAAAATAATGAGAAGCTTCTTCTGAGTCTCAGTGGGAGATGGAGAAGTTGAGATGCCAAATGCCCAGTACTTTGCAACAGCTGTTGAGACCTGAATAGGTGGGTACAGAAACAGGGGCAAGAATGGAGACAACTCTGATTCTCCTGCCATGGACATCTGAACTATCTTGAGTAGTTTTTTGCTAATGAAGGCAGGTTAGTTAAATGACCCTGACCTGCTCAGCCCCCGTCTGCCTTGTCGGGGTCGGAAAGCACCAGCAACTTCAGCGCAGCTCTGAAGGGTCTGTTTTGTTGTGGACACCACCTGAGTGCAAGGAATGAAATTGAAGTGAATAAACAGCCTCATACCATAAGGTCTTTCTTGGCTTTCCATCAGAGAAGGCAGAAACTTCCAAGGAATTTGGGAACCCGGGATTTTGAGTATTAACTGCACCTGTTTGTAAGTGAGAAACGTGCACCGTTCCACAAGGAGCTGATATCAAAAGGCCTGTGGGAGGCAAGTAGACAGGGAGGTTATTTCAGGGTCAGGTAAAGACCAAAACAAAAAGAGGTTTGCTTTTTATTTTTATTTTTTTTTAATACAGGAAGATTTTTTCAAAGTAGAGGGTGGGAGATGGATGTTTGAAGAAAGTGGTCAGAAGTCTGTCTTAATTCACAGGAAATCACTTTCTAAGGAGAAAAATGAAAACTTTTTTATTCCTTCCCTTTTGAGTCAGGAAACCTGAACTGGAAAAAAAAAAAAAATAGAAATCCTTCAGCCAGTTAAACGTGAAAATAGAATTTATTTTATTCTCAAATTTGTGAGTGTAGCAGGGTAGCCAAAGGGCCCGGGCCAGAGCTGTTGCTGGGGGAGCTCCAGTGAAGCAAATGGAGCTGAAGCCAAGCTGATCCTCGGAGCGATGCCACGGAGCTGCGGAGGCAGGGCCTTGCAGTCAGCTGTCAGGCCCTGAATCTCAATTAATGACTTTTGAGGCCAACTGACAGCTGTCTGTCCTCTGAGTTACCACTGAGATGGATTTGACCCATCTGAATTCAGGTTGCCTCTACTTGAAGGTGGAAATTTCTTCCCAACTATCACTGAGTGCCTCCTCGCTGAAGAAAAGGGATTAAGAAGTTCTCTGTCACCTCTGTGGTGCTTCCGTGCACCTCGACCTCTTGAGATGCTCTTATTTTCCGGAGACACAATTATTTTCTTCTCAAATGACATCACCTGTAAAATCCTCAGTCGGTCCATCACCCTTGTTTCTCTCTCCAGGACCATCCTTGCCTTTTTTAGCAAAAAGCAAGATACCTCGAGGCTGAAAACCATCCAAAATAATCAAAACTGGGCACAGTTAGTTTAAAGCTCATGCAAAAAAGTTCTACGCCGAGTGCTAATGACATGCACAGCTCCAAACAAGCCACTGGTGCGCTGCCCACTGCGCACAAAGCCACCCAGCCTGCCGGCACCGTTTGATGCGCGATATAAAGGCTCCAACTGTCCTCTCAGACCAGTTTTAACAATAGTGCGACTCCGCTTCCTCCATGATGGTTGCTCCTGATTTAACAGAGCACAATAGGAACGTAGCTGTGGTCTAAAGAAACTGCTCTGAGAGCTTGCCGCGCTCGCAGAGAGAATGGCAGCCTTTCTTCAGCTGTCTGGAGGGATATACTTCTCTGCTAAGCTCTCTGGAGCGATTTGGGAAGCCCCTCCAGGCAGCTTACCATAACTTTTCAGCTCTATAGGGCCATTCCACTGGGTGAAATGCTTCTGAAGTGCCCACGGCTTCGCGAAGCGATTGTGTTAAGTCTGACCCTTCCTCTGATCTTGTCTCTCCTCTGGCAGGTGTCCACGTCCTGAGCTGCAGGAACAATCCCCTGATTATCCCCGTCATCCATGACCTCAGTCACCCTTTTTATCACACCCAGGCTGTCCTCATTAGCTTCGGCTCCCAGTTTGTGGCCATCTCCGGGGTGGCCCTGCGTTCCTTCCACAACTTCGACCCCATCACCATCAGCAGCTGCCAGCGAGGCCAGACCTACAGCCCGGCGGAGCAGAGGTGAGCCCGTCCGCCTGCTTCCTTCTGCCTCGCCACCCGCTGCCGCCCGCCCGCGCCGGGGGCGAAGGGGAGGCAGGAGGGGCACAGCAGCTGAACCCTGCTGACCCTTTTGTGTCGCTGGTGAAAAACCGGCAGTGTTCTCATTGATCAGGATGGATGGGACATTTAACCCACACGGGATACTGTTAGTGAATTATTTCCTCTTCCTTTCTCCTCCCTCCTTTATCCCAAGCTTGGAATTGGGGCCAGTTAACTCTCCATACATTCCCCAGTACGGCATCGTTTTCGCCACTCACATGCCGGCTTCGATCTAAACCGCTTTGTGCTGCTAAAGTGCTACAGGGACCTCCCACGGAAACGGTCGTGCAGAGACAAAGTGATGCTTGTGCCCCGGAGGGGACGGATCCTGCAAGGTGCTCGGCCCCATGCGAAGGGTGCTTGGCTGCCAGCATTTGTGGTGCTTTTATGGCTGGGGAAGGGCTCTCAGTACCTCTCCGGATCCAGACCACGTTCTGAAAAGCTCTGTGGGACCCCCCAGGATGAAAGGTTTATGGCTACCGTTTTATTCTTGTTGTTATTACAGACACATCAATAGATCACCACCAACCCCTCTCAGCCTCTGCTTTACAGCATCCCACAGAGATTGTGACCTTTCGTGGCCTCTGGTGCGGCAGCTTCATGGATCCTTTCAGCGAGGCTGTGAAAAGAAGAGGGGAGAATTTAGCAAAACCCCTGAAAGAATCTTTTTTTTTTTTTCCTTTGTGAATTCGAAGTTGTGAGCAGTCGTCACACCATAGTGGCAGCAATAGTAAGACAAGTTGCATATTCCAGCAAACCTCTGCTCAGCCTCCTAAGCAGGCTGTCGGGTTTTTTGATAATGTTCTGGCTTGTTTTTAGGACCTGATGTATTCCAGGAAAGGGGGGAGAGTGAGAAGGGGGAGGGGGAAGGGAAAATAGGGGAAAATAATTTTTTTTTTACAAAAAAAGGAGTATATCTATAGCTAAATCAATCCAGTCAGTGTGTTCTGACCTAGATTCGAGGAGTCTGATCATTCTGTGCAATAAGTTGAATAAATTCAGAGGCCCAGAGACAGCAGGATCAAGTTTCAGATGAGAAGTCTAGTTGTGGAAGTTTGGCCAAAACCCAGTGCAGGAGCGGGACAGAGAAAGAGCGAGAAAGACCCACTGGAAGGAGATGGTGGGAAGCGACAGGGAGCTCGAGAGGACTGAGATGCAGGACCACATTCCTTCCTCTCAAGTTTTCAGTAGGAATCGAAACATTTGTTCACTTACGAAATTAGAAGTGCTCTGTGTTTAGAAAGCTATTTCCTTAATAAAAAATGCATTCCCCTTAGGCAAAGCTTCAGTGAGTCTCTGCAGCCCAGCGAACTAACCTTTAGAAATCTCTTGAAGAAGAATCACCCGCCGTTTGCCTCTTTTTTTTCCTTGTTGAATTTTTTTTTTTTTTTTTGCGTTGTTTTGTTTTCGGGATGCACTGAACCAGCTCAGCCCCTTGTTCTCAAATCCTTCTGTCAGAGCCTCGCTCCTTCGAAGTAGCGTTTTAGGTCTTGCAGGTTACTGTGCTGGATTGATCATAAAGTTTCCCATGCCAGCCAAGGAACTAGAAACTCTCTGAAAAAAAGCCCCGATCCAAAAGCAATTGAAATCAGTGGAATTTTTTCCTCTGATGACAGTGCTATAGTGGAGAATCTCCAATGTGCCTTGTGGTGGGATGGGTTTGGGTGACCATATGTGCTTTCTTCTGTACAAGAAACTCTAAGCAGTTCAGGTATCCAAGATGTAGAGAACGTTGTGCATCAAGTTGTGCAGCCAGGAAATAGGTGATGCCTTTGCTGTCACCTGCCGTCTTTTTCCTTTGTTATTTTACCCAATCCAGAAAGAACATAAAAAAGAGGATTTTTAAAATTTTTTCTTAGCTGATTGAGAAGCTGGATGTGAGTTTTCTGCCTCCTGTGCTCACGATCTCCCCATCAGACTCCACTAGAGTGCCAGTCCCATGCTGCCCATCCTTCCCTTCTCCCCTTTCCCCACTGGTTGCATTTGCCTAATACAATATTTAAAATATTTATTTAGTTTTTAAAGGAACTTTCCTTCCTATGTGTAAGCATCAGTTCTATTGCTTTCATTTTGCTTAGGTAAACATGGGTATTTCTGCCTGCTTTTTGGCTTCTCTCTACAAGAGATACTATTTCTCTCTCTTCAAAGAAAATTGTTTCAGTTGGAGAGGATTTACAGCCAGATACAGACACTTCGAGGCAAGGGTGCAGATTTTAAATATGTGAGGGAAAGGAAATATATTGGCCCTTAAAAGTTAACACAGCTTTTATTTTGAGGGTGAATGGATCACTCCCATGGGTTAGTGACAACTTAATAACTGAAAATAAAACATGCCCTCACTCTTCTTTCCTGAAATATGTATTACAGTTAATATTTTAGAAGAGAAAAAGGAGCTTAAATGCAAAAGTCCCATTGAACTTTATAGGCAGTTGTCCTCAGTCATCATTAGCAATTTTGAAAATCCATTCCATCCTTCTGAAGACATTTATAGAGGGTTTGAAAAAAGAATACTCTGTACTTTCCAGTTGTATTTTTCCAGTTGTTGGGTTTTCTGCTGCAACTGACCACAGGCTCTTTTTTGTTTCCAGCAAAAGTTTACCTCGCTGCTGGAGATGTGCTGTAAAAACGACACACTTTATTTTCACATTGCATCCTTAGACCAAATATAATGGCCCAGTTACTTCTTCTTTTGCTCTTTATAGCTCAAATTATTATACTTTATTATTTCCTATTTAGCCTCGTGGAGTGGAGGGTGAAATTGGGTGTGCAGAAGCAGAGGTGTAATTTCCCACCCCACAGTCACTGGAGCAGCAGAAAGCCTGGTGCATCGGAGCTGCCTTTGACAGTGGTTCCTCAGAAATCAGGTTTTTGTCCTTTTCACGGTGTAGGAAACATCAGCTGAGGTTGTCTCATCCCTGGCAAGGCAGTTCTTGTGAAGTGCTGCTTTTCCTCGGTGGCATTTCCCTGCCATGTTCACAAGATCCATCCCCTCCTCCATCCCACCTGGTGCCATTTGCCCCTCTACTGGAAACCGCAGGTGGGAGGCATGAAAACCCAGGTAGACACCCCAGTTCAGCTGTCAGAATTGTGGATTCCAGGAGTTTCCAACTTTCTAATCCTCCATTAACTCTGTTTGTAATGAAGATAAGCCTCCCTGCCCCTGGAGCGGGCGCTGGCTGCCCGCAGCTCTCCGGCGTGTGTGCCCCTCGTTGTGCAGCTCCTTGTGCTTTCTAGTTAGTGTAGCAAAAAGATTTTCCTTTCTTTTTGTTTGGTTAAATGTTGGCATGAACTGTCTGTTACGGCTGCAGAATTGCTGAATTGCTTCTGCAGGGGAAATTTGGGGTTTACCTTCCTCCGTAAGCATGCACATCTGGGCGTTTGACAGCTGGGGGGACCAGCACTGTAGACCAAGACCCACCCCTGGCCAACATGCCGTCTCCTGCCCCGGCCTTCGTGGAGGACTGTCCTCCGACCTTCACCCTTTGCTGCCCAAACAAGCCCCAGGGAGACGTAGCCCACTCCAGCTCTTCTCTTTGTCTTGTTCTCTCGTGCTGTCAGCTTCCCCAACAAGAAATGATGAAGATAAATCTTCAGCAGCGGAACAAATGCAACCGCCTTTTATAACTCCGGTTATTTATTTTTTTTCTTTTCTTGTAAGGTGGGGGGGAAAGGGTTTTCTCATCTCTTTTTTTTTTTTTGTGATTTAGTGCAGCTTTCTCTTTCCCGACTCGGCCGCCTTTCCCCTGCCCTGTGTTCTGTCATTAAGTGCAATCTCTGTCAGCTTGCTGCTGGTGAAATTAATGAATTTCTCACAGAACTGTTAATCATAGAAGCTTTGGTCCGTGACATGTGTTATAATTCAGTGGGTTTTTAACCTTCGCCCCATTTTGGTAATTGGCAAACGGCATCATTTGGCTTTTATTAAAGTGGAAGGCGATGCTTTTTCTTTGTTTGCCTGGACGGACTCTGGCAGGGAGACCCGTGGGGCTGCCCGCGCCTGGGCACCCAGCCCCGCTCCCAGGCTGGCAGGGAGAAGGGCTTTCAGAGCTTCATCACTTCAGTATGACCTCCCCGAGTAGGAATATCTCATGCGACGGGGCGCAAGCAGGCTGATGACAAAGCCAGTCCCCAGAGAGAATGTTGCCTTGCCAGTGGTGAGGACAGCAGTGGGGATGTGCTGGCCCATGCCTCTCCTTCTCCCACAGCTCACCTGGAGTTGGATCAAGTGTTTTCTGTAAATCTCTGGGTTTATCCACGTTCCTGACCTTATCAGTTCAAATGAGGGTTTTGCTGTGGTCACCATCAGTCAGGCCCAGTGGTGCTGCAGTGGGATCGCTGAAGGGACCATAGGTGATGGTGCTCTTTTGGTCACTCTCATGGACCAGATTTGAAGGCAAACACCTAAAAAGAAGGGGCTTGACCCTTCTTCCAGTGGAACAGTCAGCACAGGTTCAGCCATCCCCATCCAGCCCCAAGGATTCGGGTGGATGTTCTTTGAGTTTTTGCGTTAGCACAAGGAGATCAATATGTTTTAGCAGAAGATTGAAGATGATAAATTCATTGCCACCTTTGCAGTTCATACCTGTTTTATTTCTACAACAAGGAATGTGGCTAGTGCTTTTCAAAATGCTGCATGTATGTTTGGATTAGAGAGAACCTGCTCTTGCCTTTAGAGGAATCTCTACAGAGGAGAAGACAAACCCCCTGTAAGGATAAATCTGTTAGAAACACCCTCAGAAGGTTACATGCGTGTGAGTTGTCTGTATGGTGGCGTAGAACAAAACCAAAGTATGCTTCAGATCTTCAGCCCAGGCTGGCCTGAACGATGGAAAAGGAAGTTTTTCCTATGTAGAATAGATAAATATGTGTCTCTTCTCATAACGAGTGGATACCATGAGCTTTTATGCTCACCTATGCATATATATGTGTCAGAGCTATCACAAAGGAAACAAATAATTAGGGCACTATGTTGAGTTCTTGGAAAAGTACTTGACCCCAGGGTTGGGAAAAGAAAGTTTGGCTGCTGTAAGCTTTTCGAAAGAGGAAGTCCTGGATTGTTTTTATGCGTGGAAGGAAGAGTTCCACTTAATTGTTCTAATTCTCTATAAACATGTTAAAATACAAATGTTTCGAGGATTGTGTCACTAAGGCTCCAATTTAGCAAAGCCTTTAGCTATTTGCTTACATCCCTCTGCAGTCAAATCTATCAGTGGGACTTAACCGTGCTTTTGAAGTTAAGCACATCTTTAAGTGCCTTGCTGAACTGGGGCCAACGTTGGCACACAGAAATAAAGATTTAGAGGCTAATGACTGAGCTCATTTAGATTAGGGATGGGCAGAACGGATTTGAATAAAGTAAGAACTGGCTCAGATTTTCAGCCTACATGTGAAGCTAACTCAGTTCAGGGCTTTTACATCACTGAAACCTTGATCTACATTTTTAACATGCTGCAGGCAGTGGAACATGTGCAAGAAATCTACTGTAACTTGCACTCATCTTGGTGTGAAAATGTTGCTTTAGGAAATCGTACACTACCAGGGCAAGAACAGGAGCAGGTGAATCCTGAGGTGGATCTCGTAAAATAAACACTGTCAGGGAATATTCCAGGGCAATATGTTTGTTGTGTATATGTCAGTAAATCATCAGAGAGGTCCTTGGGTCCCGTGTGTAGGTTTTGTCCAGACCAGCTCATACTCTGGCAGGCAACTCCCAGGTGCATATAGGGGTTAGGATGGACAAGGGATGATTTGAAATAAGCAGTTTTGATCAAGTCACCCAATTTTGCGTGCAAGAAAGTGGGATAAGCTGTCCTATGCCAGGAATTAACATGAATTAAAGTAGAATTGATTTCATTCTCAGATAATCTATATTGTTTCTTTCCCAAGGAATGCATAGTTTCTGGAGTATGTGATGATTAACCACTGTTAAATGGCGCTACCCATGGAAGAGCTTCTGTAACCCACAATTCTGTAATATGGATGTGATGGGTTCTTTGTCTAAACTTCCTACTTGGAGATATTCATTACTCCTTCTTAATTCTGCATTTGCAGAATTCAATTCAGGATTGTGACTTCAAAATTCGTTGGGATTTACAGCTGACAGTAGCTGATACCAAATTGGAACCAGTAATATTTAAATTGGAAACATTTGGTGGCAGTGGTTGTTTTTTTACAAAAAGTGAATGGTTGTATTGTTTGTCACTGAAGTCATTCATATAGAGTTACAGACAGAGAGGGCTGCCCAGATGATCTGCTAACCAAGGCATAATCCGGAGCCCGGAGGGGGTGGCTAAAAATGTTCCCTGGCCATTTAAGAAGACCACAAGAGGACTTGTAAACAGACAGAAGAACATCACAATAAGTGTTTCTTAATGCCTTTGTCTGTGGCGTTTCAGTTCTGTAGGACTTTTAAGCTCAGGCCCGCTCATCTGTTGTCCTGATGTGAACCCAAGAAACCAAATTCTTTTTCCCCTGTACATTGATGGAAATGAAAAGCGATGCCACTGACTGCGGTGACGTTGCTCCAGATTTCCCTTTGTGCAAATTGCAAAGGTTTTCTTCGGCTCATCCTTCCCTCTGAAGCCATTCAAGGCTGAATTCAGTGCTACATCAATGTGTAGCACACTATTCACAGAAGGATTAAATGAAATAGGTCTGCTATTATTTTATTTTTCCAAATGCGCTGCAAAAAGGTTTTCTGATTTTGCAGGAGTTTTGCAATGGGCAGTCAAGGTTTGCAATGCGCACTTCTGAGAATGGCTTGGCAATAGTGCTCGTTTTTTTCCTCAATGAGTCAACTTCCTTGTCCCTGGAGCCCTGGCACGGGAGGAACTCATATTGCAGCCTCACCCTCTGAAAAACGGAGGGGAGCAAAGTGACGGTTAGCCTTCATGGGTAGGTTTAACTGGAACATGGAGGGAGGGTTCAACAAGGCATCGTTCATCATTTACACTCTTACTCAACAAACATGTTCAGATACTCTTGCTACCATTAATTCGTGACTTACTCGACTAGCAGTGCCGTGAGGTCCGTGGTGAGGTACTGCTCTGCTGGGGGAGCCACGGTGGGTGAGGCTGCCCGGGTGGCTGGTGCAAAGACAGAGCGTGGTCTGTTTCACACTCCTGGGTGATTCATGTTGGCTTTTTACAAGACAATTCCACATGGCTGTTCTCCTCACCTCATTTCTCTGCAACAGAAGACCACCTGGACACTAGGATATACTGCCCACTTGTTCTTCCATCATCTCATCCACAGTCTTATTGATCGGTGCAGAGTGAAATCAATGGCAGTTTAACTTTGTGTGTCAGGCTGTGAGTTGCAGTGACTGGAAAACATGCGTAAAACCCTTGGTATGGGAGGGGAAGATCCTACTGAAGGCAGGATCACTCGGTGTAGGTCAGCTTTGGCAAAGGATCATCTGTTCTACGGAAGTGATGAGCAACACAGTTGTAGTGCTGAGAGACAGGGTGCTGTTTGTTGCATACAGGGTATCGAGTTGGCCAACACAGAGGTGGAATTCTCCTTCCTCAGTCCTGTCAGAGGCAATACTTTGTGCACAATGAGGAAATAAGATCTTTCTGAATGTAGAAATTGTTTATGGCTCATCGCACTCCAGGGAAGGGCCGCCACTGAACAAGCAACCTTAAATTACAAGCAGCGGGCGCTTCCCATATAGCACTAGTCTGGGACAGAGAAATGAGTTGTGGAGGTACATAATACTGTCGTTTAATCTGATGTAGAGCTCAGTAGAGACATGTGCAGATGTGCTTCTCTATCAGTAACATGGGGATAACAATACCAGCCCAGGTGTCTCACAGGGGTGTCATGAAAATTAATTAGATAATGTCTGCACAATGCTTTGAACACAGCAAAACACTATGTACATGCTAAGTCTTGTGCTTACTAAGGTGGATGGGGTTTCGGTGGCTGTTAACCCTTTTTCTAGGAGAAGGGAATAGTTTGCTTGTAATCCATTTCTAAATATGTGTATTAATGCATTGTTTTCCCTTTTTTCTATCACTTTCTATGTTTCAGGTTCTTACCTACCCACATAGATGGTGAAATAAATCAAGGTTTTCCCTCCTCAGAATTAATTTAACTGTATTTAATTCAAATTCATTTTAATTCTCAGCAGAGGCATATCACCTTGTAGGAATTCTTAACCCCAGAAATTTTGTCTCTAATCCAGCATAACATCTTTGCATATAGAATCATGGAATGGTTTGGGTTGGAAGGGACCTTTAAAGGCCATCTAGTCCAAAACCCTCTGCAGTGAGCAGGGACATCTTCAACCAGATCAGGTTGCTCAGAGCCCTGTCCAACCTGACCTTGAATGTTTCCAGGGATGGGACATCTACCATCTCTCTGGACAACCTGTGCCAGTGTTTCACCACCCTTATTGTAAAAAATTTCTTCCTTATATCTAGTCTAAATCTACCCTCATGTTTTAAGACTCTCAGCACTTTTCTTGCCCTTTAGCTGAGGGACTGCCCTATACTCACATTTGAACATGTGCTATAATGTTTGACTCAGCTCATCGGAGATAGTGAAAGATTTTGTGTCAACCAGACATCTCTGTGTGTACAAAAATAAAACAAAAACCTCTTTTTACAAATTGTGCTAAATGTTACAATAATTTACTGTAGGGAGAGCAAACAGTTTCCATCCGGGGAAACAGTTTATGGATGGCAGAACAGTAACCGGAGAGATCTGAAATGACAGCATGCTGCTGAGCTTGATAAGAGCTTATCAACACAGCTACACAGCTGATGTTTGGTGTTCCTCGTGAAGAGGAACAAAATGAATGTGTTGATTTCAATCGAGTTTCTCAAAGACAACAGTGTCTATCACAGAAACACCCCCCTTGCATGTGCACACATGTACGCTTATCACTGGCAATATCTGGCACTCCTGAATTCAACAGAGATTTAAAATCGGCTGGGGCATAAGGACTGCTCTTGGAGGGAGAGTGCTCCTGTGGGACGGAAGGAGGGAGGGATGAATGGATGGATGAATGGATGGATAGATAGATAGATGGATGGATGTACAGGAGTAGGAAGACCACAGCGCAGCTGAATGTTGCAGAACAGAAGGTAATTCTGCAGAACTGGGAGGCTCTTCCCTTTTGCCACAAGGCCTGTAGTTTGCTTTCGCTGTCATCACCCCGTCCCTGTCCTTCGGAAGACATAACTAGAGAGTGTGCTCATTGGTGAGGAGCCCTTTGCCGAGCCGTGTTCAGTATGCAGTCCGTGTACCTGCCGCCTGAGAAGTGATGAGTTTGTCAGTCAGACACGCTTGCTCTTGTGGAATGAATTACATGAATTGAATAAACATACCACTTCTTGTCTCCTACCTAGCTGTGTCCACTACTCCTGCGAAGCCACCGACTGCCAAAAACTGGAGATCGAGAACGCGCAGCTGAACTGCACCGGTGGCGGGTGGTACAACGGTGCCCAGTGCAACGTGAGCTGCAGGACAGGCTACATTTTGCAAGTCCAGCGAGACGATGATCTCGGCAAGAGCCAGGTTTGTTCTGCTGGTTTTGTATGACCCACAAGACAGGGACGAGCAAACAGATGTGGACAAATTGAGAAATAACCCAGCCTAAACCCCAAAATCCCAGCTCAGCCTTGGAACAAGTCCTTATCCAACTACTTCTCATCAGAATAGGAGCCATCTGACTCTGTAGGAAGAGATACTGAGTGCAGGCAAAGCTCAGATGTTCCCCAAATTTAGAAATTTTCAACCCAAAAGGTTTGAATATGTTCTCTGATCTCACTGGCTCTACTCAGCCAAACAGTGTTTCTTGGGTTGGTGTTTTGGGGATGAGATGGGGTGTTTGGCTTTTTGCACAGCTAGTTACTGGGCAACGTATCTCATTTTTATTCCTAAGGTCAAGGCTAACAATGTCTTAACTCCTTTGCAGTGTTTCAGTCGATCTGCTCCCAACTGTACCCTGACACTGCAGAAATACACAGTATCAAGGGGGTGGAAAAAACACCCAAACCTTTTTGCTTCCAAACAAAGCACCAAAAACCGACCCTAATGGGTCAGGGAGTGCTCCCCATCTTCTCTAGGCCATGCATTAATAATCCAGTCCTACAAAAGCAGCATGTCTTGATGCAGTGAGTGGGGTATTGAGGAAAATGATCAATTTCTTTAAACATTAAAAAAAAATGCAGGTCCTTTGTCCTGGGAGAAGTGGACAAGGTGTAGGTGCAGCATGGCCCAGCCTCGGTATGCCACTGGGAGCAGGGCTCATGGGATACGTGGGTGCAGGACTGGCGCCCCAGTTTGGGCTCTCACCCCTAACGCTGCCGGGTCCCGTGAGCGCGATGTGAGGGTCGTTCCCCCGTCCGCACCTTCTTGTGTTGTGGGGGCAGCACAAACATCTGGGGCCAGGGTAGGCAGCCGCGCTCGGAGCCTGTCTGCGTTTGTGAAATACTGTGTTCTTCATCAGCGCGCAGAGTGGGGAGACAGAGTGGAGGGGAATGAGTCAGCCCTTTCAACTCAATTACAAAACAAATACAGGACCCCGCAAGCTGGGCCTCTTCCATCCTAATTGGCATCAGCACCAGAACCCCAGCTCCAGCTGAGCATTTTTACAGAACAGAAAACAAGTTCTCAAACGCGCCTGAATGGCTGAACCAGGAAATAGTTGGAAGGGATCTGTACATTGAGCACACAGGAATCCCAAACCAAATAAAACAGCCTAAACATGTTTCACCAGCGCTGTGTTATTTAAACGCAAGAAGTACCTTTCGAGGAGGCTCAGCCAACTGTATATGGTTTTTCTCTGAGAAGTTTGGTTTCAGAGCCTTGATCAGACTCATATGACAGCAGTGGAGGATTTTAGCACCCCTAGCTAACGTGATTCACTGCCTATTACAACATGCTTCCTCTCACCCCGGTCTACTATTGCACTTCGATGTCTCTTTTCCACCGATAAAAGCCCTGAGGCCAATAGCTTTGTTTTGCTCAGTGCTGTGCATTCACTGTTCAAATCAGGGAAGGAGAGGAGCATCTTAAAGGTGTCCATGTTCAGCTGAGTGCATTAAACACGTGCTTTAAAAGTTTATTCATGTGCTTCAGAGATCTGTTGAAAAGGAACGTATAATTTCTTTCACCTATCGTCCAGTCTTATGACTCTATGTCAGATGCCTCAAGCCAGAACTTGTGGAACGTGTAGACAAGAAATTAATTACCCGAGCAAGTCCAGAATCCGTGGTTCGGATCCTCGTGTTGTGTTGTATTGCATTGCATTGTGCTCCTTCCACAATTGCTTCCCAGCTTCAGCTCCTCTTCAGATCGCAAGCATTTGGAGATGAGATAGGGCATGTGGGTTGTTTTCTATGGTCAGTCTGCTGTGACGGAGGAACCTTGCACAAAGCTGTTGGTTGTTTCACTGTTATAATTTAGTTGGATATTTTGCTTGTTTGACTGTTCGGAGGGTCTAGAGCTACTTTTTTCTCATTTAACTGACGGTGGTGGGGTGCTGCACGAGGAAGAGGAGGAAGGAAAGTAGCTTTGCATGTGCTGATGTTTCACACTCTTGGGCAGGAAGGAGGCTGAGGTGAGGTGCAATGTCTCAAAGAGCAGACTGAACTGGCCTATGACCACTGCATGCTGATGAAGATGATTGACAGACCAGTGAAAACACCCTGGTTTAGCATCTGAACCACATTTGTCTTCAGTATTTCACTGAAAGGTAGAAAAAAAAGGATGAACAGAGAATTAAAAGCAAAATTTTCAAAAGCACTTCAGAGATGTAGGGGCACAAGTCACATTTCAAATCAATCTTTTACTTCTAAGGGGTCTTTGAAAACCTTCTTAACAGTTTCTGCACTTTCTGGCCTCTGTGTCTTCTGAAGCCACCATTTTAATCAGTTCTTAGGGCAAAAGCTTCATTCATCTCTGCTCTCTGAGAAGCTCCCATTCCCAAATTCTGTTAAAACTCCATAAAATCACCAAACCCTAAAAACCATCAGCACTATGTGCAGTAGAAACTGTTTGTTGTTTGAAAACAAAAAAAGAGACGAGCTGTTTACAGACGCTTGGGCTCGAGCTCAGCCTCATTTAGGGACTTCAGCAACAACAACAAAAAAGGCTTTGCATAGTGATGGAGCAAAATCCTTCATGTATCTTTCTCACAAAGAAGATCTCGGGATGTTTTCGTTTCCCCCTCCCTGATGTCTTCCCAACCCCCTGACAACTCCATCGCTCTTTCTTCTCTTCTCCCCCTTTTCCCCCTTTGTCTTTCGCTGCTTCCCTCCCCCTTGTCCTTTGCTGAAAGCCCCACTCATTCAGTTACTTGTTGTCATCTCTCCTTGAAGCTACCACCACTGCTGCTCTGGTCAAGAGGTGTTATTTAAAACCCAGCAGCTCCCTAATGTTGTGCAAAGGCATCATCAATCATGCCAGGAAAAGAAAGCGCGGCTCATGTGGGTTCAATTAGAGGCACAGTAGTGGGCAGAAGTGGAAGAATACTTAGAGGGGAGGGCACAGCTGTTCATTTTTAAGGAGAGGAAACTTCACACGTGAAGCATCGCTTGAAGAAGGAGCCGGCTGGGATCCTGGGCAGCAGGAAGGAGACATGAATTCTCCCAAGCTGTTAAAAATCCCAAGAAACAAATCTTTCTGGCACCAGATTTGGTTAAGTTTGCGTCCTCACCACTGTACTGCAGACTGTATCTTTGGAGGCTCTTTTTTTTCCCCCTCTTTTCTCCCCCTCGCCCGCCCTCCCTCCTTGCGTAAGCCTCTTTTGGAAGGCAGGACATGAAGGGAAGCAGTTGCTGTGATGCCAGTCAAAGCAGCACAAAGTGCCCAAAGTGACAGCTAATAAACCAGACGAGAAAGCCGAGTGCTTCCTATGGACCGCAGTGAGCTGGGTGACCTTGTCAGCTCAGACAGGCGAAACAGGCACGTGCCGGCTCAGGCATCGGGTGGGAGATGCAGATGCAGGATCCCAAGGCAGCGCTGCTCAGGCTGTCGACTGGAAATACCCCCGAGGTGCAGCATGGGGTTGGGGAGAGCTGAGCTCCTGCTCAGCAGCCTGGGGTCCTGCCCTGCAACGATCCCACCTCCAGGTAGGACATTGCAAGAGGAAGAAGCTGAAAGCTGGTGGGTGCCGCCGGCAATGATTTCAATGTTAGGGTTGTCTTCTGTGCTTCCAAAGCCACTGGTCTTTGTCTCCGTTGCGGGCAATGTTCTCTGTTAGGTTCTGCTGCAGAAATGCGTGTGCTCCTATTACTTGAAGCGATGACATGCTAGACATGCTCTAAAATGTGCCATTATTATGTCCGACCTTGAAAACCTCAGCTTCCATCATACAAAGCATGGAACAAATTACTGGAAAAAGCTGAGAAGCCAGGGTCTTACCCACGTGGGCACAGCTTGTCTGCGTGAGAATGGCCTTGCCGGTGTGCCAGGAAAAGGAAAAGCCGTATGAGTGTGGAAGACGGTGACTCTTCCAGATTTGGTTAGTGGTTTTGTTGGGAAAGTACCATGGGGAGAAACCCAGAGATGAAAATGTGGAAAGACTCTTTTTCTTTTCACATCAAGGCCTAGAACAGGGTCAGAAATAAAGTGCAGCAGGAATATAGCTCTAAGGAGAGATCCCTTCCAAGGAGGGGTGACCCTAGGCACATTGCATTTCCAGCAGCCTGGAGCTTCCTGGAGCTTTCCGCTAACAAAGACCATGGCTGCAGCTGAAATACCCTCACAAGTGTTAGCTTGGGCAAAGCGTTCTTACCTGTTTTGTGTAAGATGTGACTGTCATGCACAGATATTGCTTCTGTTTAAATGTTTGTTTTATATTCGAATTCCGAATTGCACCGTTTATTTGGTGTTCTGTAGAGCTACACCTGTGCTCAGTATGGATCCAGCATCCAGCAAGATACAGTGCAAGACCCACGTCTTTTCCATAACATTTGGATAGCCCCTGACATCAAGAGCTTGGTTTTACGTTTTAACCTCCTGCTGTTGAGGTGCCCAGCAGCCACAGCGCTGGAGTGTTATTTGATGATAGCATCTGTTCGGGGAAATGGAGGCTTTGCTGAATGCTGGAGCAGACTGGAGTGCAAATGTGGTGGTGATGCTGAGATACGTAGGTGTTATGAAGACACAGAAATATGCTGTATCATCGCTTCTCCTGTGGCCATCACACCACGACTTCCTGGAAGCACAGGCATCTTCAAATCATCGACTATCTACACAATATATATACTTTTTAATGGTGCTGATATTGTGATAAGCAACAAAGGCAGAATCAGTAGCCACTGGGGAGCAAAGTTGTTGGGAATGAAAACACAGAGTGTCACTTCACCTGAGCACTCCAAAAATCCCAGGATGTGCTACTCTAAATTTGTAGAAAAGACATTTTTTTCCATCAGCAGTGTTCCCTGTTTAAATAAACTCCACGGTCTAGAAAAGGGGTTTTGTGCCCACTTGGGAAGTGTCCAGTTTCTCAGCTCTGGGACTGCTTTTTCCATTCTGAATGCAACCATATATCAAAGGGAGACAGGTCTGAACTTCTGTTGAAACCATTAGGGTGTTTTTGCAAAAAGGGAATCCGGGTCCCTTTGATGTGTGCTAGAAAAATTCCCCTTCCTTTTATAAACCCAGATCAATGGTCGGCAGTGCACATCTCCTGTGAGCATACCAGCCCTGAATAAAATATTCCCCGGAGGCAGAGGAGTGCTGCTGTATGGCTTGGTCAGATTCCTCACCAATATCTTCCCCCTTCTCGTGTTTGGGTTTCTCACGTTTCTTTTTCTTCTGTCCCTCTCTTTATTTTGGTATGAAGGGAAAAGTCCTACTTTCAGATTCTTCACTTCTAATTTTTAATAATTTTCCCTTTTAATAAGAAAGTGGATGTGTTGGTTATTCTGTTCTCTTTGCCAACATCTGTTTGTCCTTCGGTCACCCAGTAAATTCTTCATCTTAGCTTTGGACGAACGACTCCTTTACCTCTCTGCCTTTTTTTTTTTTTTTTCTCTCTTCATAGCGCTTGGGGAGTTCAGTCTGCTGCATTGTTTGGGTTATTCCTCAAATCCATAGAAGTGTTGCTTCTATGTAGCTGTGACAGTAGAGTGACATTAGGGAAGTCAGAGCACAGGCACTGACTCTGCCTTTGACCTCTCAAGTGCCAGGTGAACGTACGGGCAGGATGCTCCTGGGTCTGTCCGTTGCAAACTCCTCCAGGAAGCAGTCTGTCTCTTAGGCGAGCGTGTCCCGGTGCCAGGGCAGCAGGGCCCCCATTTCATTTGGAGCCTTGGGGCTGATGGTAGAAGCTGTAACAGCAGTTGTCAGTGTGTGAACACAACATTGACGTGGCCCAGGCCACCTCTCTCAGTACCCCAGTCCAAGGGTGACCGAATCCTCTTGGGAGAGCCTCAGACGGGAGTCCCAAATGCATTCATGTCAGGTTGGCTTTCACTTCAAACCCAAGAGTGAGTCTGGCTGCTCAGAAGCACACGGGGATCCCCCTGGAGTGGCCGTGTCACTGTGAAGGTGACGGGGATCGGGGACAGCTGTCAGCTCCAGACAGCTCCGACTTGCGCGCTCCTTTTGGATCGCAGGGCAGAGCAGCAGCATTCCCAGCTCGTCTCCAGAGGTGACGCAGACAAGAGTTCAGATTAGTTGTAGTGCTCTGCTCTTTATACTGAAGCACTTTGGTGTCTCACCCCAGAGGTGACAGAAATACATCCTGGTTCTCTGACACTGTTTCTCGTGGGACCTTGGTGGTTTTAGTTGCTGTTGTCCAAATGATGATCGTAGTGATCAGGCCCAGCTTTGCTTAACTTGTGAGCCAAAATAATGGCTGTTATTAGGCTTGAAATGGTTTTGACCTCTCCCTTGCTGGCTGTGGTGGCTGTAGGTACGTGTCTTTTTCCAGATGGAGTCCAGCATCACCATGACTTGCACGGATGGAAAGTGGAACAAGCAGGTGACCTGCGAGCCCGTGGACTGCGGTGTCCCAGACCAGTACCATGTCTACCCAGCCACCTTCAACTGCAGCGAGGGGACCACCTTTGGCAAGAAATGCTCCTTTACTTGCCGACCTCCAGCTCTTCTGAAAGGTATCGGAGGGTGTCTGTGCAGTGACCTGGGGAGAGCTGCACAGCTAACACACACTGTTCCTACTGATATATGTTACTGTTGCTGTTGCTTTAGAATTATTCATGATATTTTAAGTATGAAGAATTATGAGACTCTATGGGAAGGTTTATTTATATTAGAAGTCAAGTTCCTTTACATCTCTCTTTTACCTTCCTTTGACCTTTCCTTGATCACGGCTGGCTGGGCAGTAATGACGGTGAATATTGCTTCCATACAACCAAAACATGGAAAAGTCATGGGGATAAATCAAATTGAACTTTCTCATCTTCTTTCCCATACCTTCTCTGTTTTCTGTGCCTGTCTCTCTCCTATGTCTCCTCCATGTATTTGGAAAGGTAGGAGAAGACTGAAAAGTCCTGTGTCCCACTGGCACAATCCAGCATCACTGCTTTTCTAATCCACTCATCACGTCTCTCCTTTTCCATGCTCACCTTGCTCTACCTCTGACCTTTCTCTCCTCTTCTTGTTTGGGATTCTCTACAATCTGTCTACATTTTTTTTTGTTTTAAATAACAAACTCTGCTGCCTTCTTTATCTCCCATCTTCTTCCCTGCTGCTTTTCTGCTAACATCCCCATAATCTTCTCAGCACCATCAACTCTTCTGCTCAATGGCACATTACCCTTTTTGATCTCGTCCATAGGAAACTAGAAAATATATCATTGTTAATTCAAAGGAACATTGGAGCCAAATTAACTTGTCATCTTGCAGTAGAGTAATCTTAACTGTTGCTGTCAACTCAGGTACAAATGCTGCATAAGTTTTTTTTTTGGTACATGTGGTATCACCTTTTCTACGAGGATTTGTTGCAAACTCCAGAAGAGGCATGGGAAGTATTCTTCATTTCAGTGAAATAATATGTTGGTTTCTTCATATATAACTTTTAACTCTGACTTAGGAGGGTAACCACAAGCAGCCAACACACAGTGAAAGTTAAGACTACTCAAAGGGGAGATTTTTATCAAAGAATTGCCTTTTTCTGTTCGTACATTCAGAGGGTCATCTTCAACAAGAGGTGTTTTTCATGGAAAAAGCCTGGAATGTGTTTGAGGGGGCAGTGAAAATAATGATGTTCATCATGCCCAACAAGAGCTTCAGCTGATGACTGCAGCAGGGGTAGCTGGAGGGATGATAACCATCCCCCAGGTCAGGAGTGCAGCTGTGGTGTGTAACATCACTTCACTTTTGTCCAGAAACTCTGTGAGCTGTGAGGTAAAGGCACCATTTGGTGTACAGCCATCGGTGATGACTAATAGATGTTGCCACTAAGCTTCTGGAGAATGGCGTTCGAATGACTCATGCCTAATTCAATCACTGACGTCATGACAGCCACTGTTGGTAATGTCACAGCTTATCACTTTGCAGTGGCAAGTATGATATCACTACGGCTGGTCTGCAGAGCTGCTGCATGAGTCAGAGCAGAGGAACATGCTGGTGCTCTAGAAAAGAGCTCCCTTCTGCACAAAATACCTCTGCAATCATCTGCAGTGGGGAGGGGAGAGAGAAAGCCAGGGCTGATTTAATGCAGCTTCTCTTATCTTTGTGGGTAGGGCAGGAGGGCTCCTCCACATACCTTCCTGAGCCCTCCAGAGCCTTTTGTTTTCTTCTTGTTTGAATTCCAGCCTCATGCCCCCAGCTCTCTTCCTTCCCTCTCAGAGAGATGGCATTGCTCTGGGGTTAGCAGTTTGTCGGTATTACTTTGGATAACTCCGAAGTTGGCTTACTGTTGAAAATATGCCTTGTGGGTTGAGAAGAGTTCCTGCAGCAATGCTCGGGGATTTCAATAGAGTATTAGGGATTTTTGAAGGGTTAGTGGCTCATAGCTGTGCTTTGTTTCTTGGGAAAAGCTTATTCCTTTTCAACATACAGTATAAAATAACAAAGAATGTAAAATACACTGAGACTGGGCTACTTTTAGCTTAACCTTCTGAAGTCAAGTAGGTCATAGCAGAGGCAAATAGATCTATTGTACCTTTTACCTTTGAGGTGCTGGCCAAGAAAACTTCCTAAGGAAAATGAGTCTCTAATGAGTATTATGAATCGTATTTATCACAGTAGTCCCCAAGGACTGAGAGTCCCCAGCTGAGAATGGCTCTTCATTGTGTTGGAGTAGTGACTCTAATACTAACAGATGCTGCTCCAAAAGGCTCAAAATTGAAATAAAAAGGACAGATTCAGGGAAGAGATATAACACAGAAGCAGAATGAAGAATGTAATGGTACCAAACCCTCTGTTAATGCCATGACTTTGGAGAGGAGCGGGTTGATGTATGAAGCAAGCTTCCTTTCAGAGAAGGACAAAATAAGGAAGAGAAATACAAAAGATTACAAAGCCAGTGTGATTTCCCCTATGCTATAGCATTTCCTGAAATAAGCACTGTCTGCCTGCCAGCTGAAAACAGAGTCCTTAATGATTTAATGCCATCATCTAGAAAGAGAAAATGCATAAGATGTACGCAGTTGAGTTTGTCAAACCAACTGGGGTGGCTTTTGATATGTTATCGGTGTAACGACGTTTTGAAAAAAGTCTGAACGTTGTTTACTTTGCTCACTCTTCTCCTCAGGAAACAACAGCAACTTGACCTGCATGGAGGATGGGCTATGGTCCTTTCCGGAGGCCCTGTGTGAGCTGATGTGTCGAGCACCCTCCATCGTCCCTAATGCAGATCTCCAGACCACTCGTTGCCGAGAAGATAGGCACAAAGTGGGCTCGTTTTGCAAGTACAAATGCAAACCAGGTTACCATGTCCCTGGATCCTCCAGAAAAGCAAGAAAGTAGGTGAAAGAGTAATGCCATGCAGTCAGCATGATTCAGAAAACCATGAGTTAAAATGATTTTTGGAAAGGGATGGGCTGTTTATAACAGACTATATGTGCTGTAGGGAATATCACTGAGTAATTATCCCTTCATGCAGATAGTTGTGCAGTTTCAAGGGGAGTTAGGCACCTAGCTCATTTATTTGAAAATCCTAACCAGTGCTCAAAAAACAGACCTTACTTTAGAAATACCCCTTTGATAAGCAGCCTGGGGAGTCCCCTTTGAAACTCTGCAGGAAAGGGTTAGTGCTGTCGTATGCTCCTGACTGCACAAACCCACTTCAAACCAACCACAGCCCTCAAACCTGGGAAGCAGAGTTTTTGGGAGATGTATCCAAGGCCAAAAGAGGAGTTTAGGCTGGGCAGCTCAATGTTGGCTTTGCAAATAATCGTGTTTTTTTCTCAGAGACCTCATGACGCAGATTCACGACTTGTTCCCGAAGTGTTAAAAGCTCAAGCACACCCATTCCTTGCAACCTGCTAGGAGAGCTCAGAGGCTTTAAAGGCTCTTAGCTGACTCAGCCACTCACCAAATGGTCTTGTTTTTTTCTGCACAAAAAGGCGAGCCTTTAAGATCCAGTGCACCCAAGACGGCACGTGGCTGCCGGGCGCTTGCGTGCCCGTTACCTGCGACCCTCCACCTTCCAAGTTTCACGGGCTCTACCAGTGCTCCAACGGCTTCCAGTTCAACAGCGAGTGCCGGATCAAGTGCGAAGATGATGACAATCAGTCGGTAAGTCTGTCTTATCCAAATTATCTCAGCCCATACAAGCGTGGTTTTGTCATATGTTCCCTAAGGATCCTGATCTTGGAGGGGCTGGGTGTCATTGAGCTCTTCTGAGACCAGAGGCAGAGAAGTCAAGAAGGGAAATACATAATTAAAGTAGAGGAAGAAAGCTCCTGCGAAGAGCCTGGAGATATTATTTTTAAGATAGTAGTAATGGTATTAACTATTACCCATAAAGGACTAGCAGTGAGTGACTTACTGTTTCCAAACGTTCTGAAAAATCTGCCTCAGTTGGTTTATGATCTAGCTAGAAAATAAGGAGTAATGAATGAAAGTAAGTAGGATACGAGTTACCCGCACTTGCCTTGTTTGCTCATTCCATTTTACCTTGCTTTTCTCTCCAGTCATTTTTCTCCTTATCATTATACATATGTGTGTCATATGATAATTTAACTTTATAGGGATTACAACTATTCAGGTGAACTGCCTCTAAACTTCCATGTTTTTCTGGCTGTCAAGGTGTCATTTGACATCAGGGGTCAGATCCTCATCTGGCATAAATCAGCGTGTCGCCTTTGACTTCCTAGGAGCTGTATTCACTGATATGAGAAGGTCTGGCCTTTAGTATCTTGTTTGAAATGCTTAGTTTTCCTCACCAGAGGTAATTATAGTTTGTGAGATAAGTAACTTCTCCCAGAAGTGCTGCTGCTGCTTAATACGCCTGGGAGGAGAAAGTGGGGATGTAGAAGCTGCTGCTACTACACGCACTGCAGAGAGCAGGGAGTGCTCTGTCAAAGGCCTTTTAATATCATTCCAGATTCTGAGGACATATTAAAGAGGGACCAACCCTACCCTAGGGCCAGTGATCTGAAAGACACCTCTGATATCTGCTCCAAACATTAAAAGCCGATTACTGTCCCCATTCCCTGCCAGGCTGGCCTGCCCTCTCCACGAGGACAACAGGCAGAGCCCTGGGGTTTTGCATCAGGGCACCTGGAAAAGGTTTCCTTGTGTAAGACTTACGTGAGGTTGTTCTGAGCCTTGCGAAAAGAGAAGTTGCAGGCGTGGGTGCGGTTTGGGTGTGAGTTCTGGGATCCAGCGTCTGAGGCTTTGTGCATCTACCACTTGGGCAGACTGGTCAGCATGGCTGAAGATGTGTACCGCTGCTGCCAGTGAAGGGAGACTGGGGCCACCAGGGTGATGACAACGGGTGTAACAAGTTTGTTTGCTTTTAAATAAGCTGGACATGAAGAGGAGCAAGCAGTGGAGTCAGGGTTACAGCGGCAATGAAGCGAGCTCTGGAAAGTGAGAGATACAGCTGTGCCTCTATTCACTGTAAGGGTGTAGTGGCTGTTCAGCTGCGAAAGGACCCTGAGCAAAGGTGCAGATACCATCTTGAGAAAGGGATTTACGGAGAAAGGTATTTCCAGATATTCCAGAAAATAGACTACAGAAAAAGAGGGAGGACGCCTGGCACAAGTCAGAACCACTTGAGAGGTGTTAATTATTTAAGGATTAAACCCCACTAAGTCTCTCTCAGCTATATAAGGTGATAATGCACGTTGCATCCAAGCAAGAAACCCAGCAGGGATTTTCACAAGAGATTTTGCAGGTCAGGGAATGATGGACAGTATGTTACTATAGCAATGGATATCCTGGGATCTCTGAGTACATTGCAGAAACTATACAATAGTACCCTCAAGGACAGCCAGCTCCAGCAACATCAATCAGGTTTCATGGCTCACCTTTAAAAATCATGTTTGAACCTTGGCATGCAAATTGCAATGGAAGCGCACCGCACTTGCTAAAACAGCAAATTGTGCTCAATTATCACTTAGCGATCTCTTCCTGAATTTGTCCCCACGCTGAAAGATCATTACTCAGCTGTACATATGGCATCTCTTAATCACCAGGACCATAATGGTCATTTAAGCAGGTACTTCCCGTGGCACCCAGAGCAAGGGTCTTCCATTTCTGAATATTGTGCACAAATCACGTGAACAGTCAGATCTATATTAATCAGTCTCTGCCAAACTGGCCCTTAGGTGAGAGTCACCAAGCTGGATCACACCCTGAGTCCATCTGGTCCATTATCCTTTCATATGATTTTATTATTACTTCTGGCAATGGCCAGATGTCTGGAGAAGGGAAAGCAGGTCCCACACAGTAGTCTGCCAATAAGACCACTTTGCATCTCACTAAATGTTGTGTTCATCGACAAAGCTGAGCAAAAACAAGCCTGAGAATATTAAGGACAAGACTAACCCTGATGGCTGTGCGATCTTCCACGCTGGTACCAGGGACTTGTGCAGATCCCTGTGCAACAACGGGTGTGAGCCACAGGGAAGAGCTCCTATGAAATGTCCAGTAGCCCTGCTGGGATCTCAGCACAGGCAGCACACAGAAGGATCCTCAAAGATATCCAGCACGATCTCCAAGAGCAGGGTGGGTAGATTGCAGGCAGCGTGCCTGGCATGTAGAACGGGTGAGGAGAAACAGAGATCCCACATGGTTCTCCCACCCAGTAAGGCCCCGGCGGGAGGTTTGGAGCCCAGCCACACCAGACATCCTCCTGTTGAATGACCCACATTCCCCCATGGCAGTCAGGCTCGCAGATCCTGCACAACAGCTTGTGCAGAAATCCCCAATGCCATGAGGATAGATCTGACAAAAGATTGCCTGTGCGCTCCTTTGTTGTTTCTAAAGGGCATGATATTTCCCCTCGGACTTTGGTATTCGTTCTTCAGTATCATACAGAGAATCTTTTCTATAAGAGAAATGTCATATTCTATTCCTCACCCATTCCCACACCAGAGGCTTTTTCTCTCCTTTCCACCTGCCTCTGTGTGTGTCTGTCTCAGCGTCTCTGCTTGCTGTCACTCAAGGCAGCCAAGCTCTAAAGAGCACGTTCTGCCCTGCTAAGCATCCCTGCTCGTGTCCCGCTTTCCTTCCTCCTTCAGATGGCCATTGGGGATTCTTTCTTTTTCGAGACACAGATGATGCAACCAGTTAGAAAATGGGAAGAGGGAAAAGGTTGTCTGCATTCAACACAAACCTCTCAACAACAAGAAAGAAGGTGAATGGGGTGAACTGGAGTGGGTCTATTTTAAGGTAGAGAACCTTGCAAGGGCCTTGTAAAGACATTGCTTTGCACAGAAGAGGCGTGTGTGTGTGTTGGTATGCAATGCAGGTTTCTTATTTTTTTGTTCTTTGGAAGAAGACTGCTTCTTTTCTACAATAAGGGTGTTGAGGCACTGGAACAGGTTGCCCAGAGAAGTTGTGGCTGCCCCATCCCTGGAGGTGTTCAAGGCCAGGTTGGATGAGGCTTTGAGCAACCTGGTCTTGTGGAAGGTGTCCCTGCCCATGGCAGGGGGGTTGCAACTAGATGATCTTTAAGGTCCCTTCCAACCCAAACCAGTCTATGATTCTTGCCCCCAGGGCTGGCAGTCCCAGCCAGGGACTCTCCCAGCTCCCGCAGAACTTTGCTCCCAGCTCAGCTCTGCCCACTTCTCACTTCTCAGCCTGTCCTTGCTGTTGTTTTCATGACCATCCTCGTTATCTCCTTCTCTCATTCCCAGGGCCGTGGAAGCAACGTGATTCACTGCCGGAAGGATGGCACCTGGAGTGGCTCCTTTCATCTCTGCAGGGAAATGCAGGGCCAGTGCGCGCTGCCCACGCAGCTCAACAGCCACCTGAAGCTGCAGTGTGCCGGCGGCTACGGCATAGGTTTGTGAGCATCAGCCCCAGCCCTCTGCCATGGGGGGATGCAGCTTGGACAGAGTGGGGAGCAGTGAGACAGGAGATGAGGAAGAGGATGGGGAGGAAGGAGGGAGCCTGCAGTCCTTGAAGTCACCTTCTCCTGTGGACCTGTTTGCCTGAGTAAGAGGCTGCGACAGGAGGCTTTTCAGGGAACTGCCTTTAGGAAACACGAAGCTTTCAGAGGCCAGGCATCATGTAACATGCTCCGATCGCCTGCTCCTTGCAGTGCTTCCAGTTTCGTCGTGTCCTTTCTTAGCCAGCTGGTTTTAATGGGCAGCCAGCATGCCAGACTACACCAGAGACACATCCCGTCCTCAAAACACAGGGAGAGATTGTACCTGCCTTTGCTCTTATGCTTTTGTAATGTCCCTCTCCTTCATCCACACGCACACACACATGCCCCAGAGGCTGAAAGGCAGGAAGCTGGCAGGGAAGCACAGCACTGGGATAATTCAGGGCTCTCCAAAATGAATATGAGCCAGCTGAGCATCCTCTTTGGTATGACAGTTGTTTAGGAGCTGTTGTAAGGGTATGTTTTCCCCCTTCCTTCAGGGGTGCCTGATCACTCTGCAAGCGGTGATGACTTCCTGCGCTCAGCTGTGCTTTATGTCACCCAGGCAGAGGGAGGGATAGATTACACACTGAATTGTTCACGCTGTATTGTATTTTCAGCCCCTGTTTTTGAGGTCTCCTTGCTGTAAGGGCTGCAACAGGAGCTGCACTGGCTGCAGCCCGCACAGACCCGCGAGGCCCCTTCCTGCAGCCCCTCTCCCAGCCCCTGCCAGCCCCCTCCTCCCTCCGCCTGTCCCTTTGAACTTGAAGAAATTTCCTCGTTGCGCAGCTCATTATATCGCAGCCGTGTGAGGGACCACGAGCCGCCTTGTGTTCCCTCCCCGGGGAGGAGAACACGACCTGGGTGAGATCACCGCTCTGTAATGATGCCAATTACAGATCATATATCAAAACAATTCCGACCCGCTCCTTTCCGTAAGCGTAAATAGCGCAGCGGAGCGCGGGAGAGCGAGCGGCGAGCAGGCTGTGGCGACTCTTAACGTGGCGAGGAGTTTTACCCTTGAGACGAGACGAGGTTACCTCTCAGGCCTGGCCAGGTTTTTGCAAGGAGAGAAATACTGATTCCCAGTTTGGATGGGAGCGTCTCTGTGCTGGAAGTAGGAAGGTCTGCAGCTGCCCGCACAGCGGGCACCTGCCAGCCCGCAGTCCTGTCCCAGCCCTGCTGGGGCAGCTGCCAGCAGGTGCCTATCCCAAATACAATGTCTAATGGGCCTGATCCTGGGATGGAAACACGCAGCTGTCATGGAGGCGAGGGGCTCGTGGGAGGGAACCTCTATGAGAGCGTGACTCTCGCTGGAGAAGGAGGAAGAGCTCGATGAGGGCACAGCGGACGTTGGCTCTTATCCTCAGCAGATAGAGACATACCACACACTTTGTTAGGCTCACCTAGCACCACCTTTTGGGATCAGGTTGGTGGGGTTTTCTCTTTTTTTGTGTGTTTTTGGAAGCCTGATTGATGTCCTTCTGAGGAGGTCCTCTCCTGCCACTTACCTGCAATGAGGCTAGCGTCAACGGGCACTCATCCAGGAGGTCCCATGGAGCTGCTACCATATGCACTGGGAAAGCAAAACAAACCCCAAATGCTCCTGGTCCTGCTGGCTCCACAGCCTGGGTCTGCTCCTCTCGCACTGCCTCCTCCATGTGGGAATACGTAAGAAGGCAGAAGCAGGTGGGGAAAATAATAGCATCCAGTCATGGTCACTCTGAATCCCACACACCTTTGGTAATTCCTCAGACACCTAATCTGCCCTTCCAGGCTGAGGTGTGTTGAGCTCTCCAAGCCAGTGTGGAGATTAATTCCTCCCCCAGTGCTGGTTGGAGTGCAGAACTCCTAATGACATGTTTGCAGCAGCTGTGCCATTCAAGAGTGATTTTCCAGGGGGGAAATGGTAATGGTCCAACACACTAGGGCTTACGGTTGTGTCACCACAGGGCTCTGGGATATTGCTGCAGAGTATCGCAGCATGTTTTAATAAAGAAAGGACAGGATTCCCACTGGGAATGACAGTTAATCAGAGAAAAAGCAGGTTTATGTGTGAACAAAGCCATCATTACCTTTCTGCGTACTCCTTATCGACCGTGGGACTTAGGTGATAGCTCGTCTGCAATGTCATTAGGCTTGGTCACCCTCCGAAAGATTATTATTGAAGGTCTGTAAATTTGACAGATCAAATGGTAAGTTTTTGTCATGTCATAGGTGAGATGAGTTCGACAGCCTTTGCTTAATCAGTCCTGTTGCTTGAAAGAGCAGCTGAAATGGAAAAACCGTCATGTTATCTTGATGATATGAAAGTGCAAAACCTGACCACCTTCTTGGAGTTAAAAGCCAGAGAAATACCTAGATATGCAGCTCATACAAAAAGGCCCTGGAATATCTGCCACCCCCACGATCTCCGGCTGAGACGCGGGGTCGTACTCAGCATTTCATGTGTGGCTGGAAGATATGTGATAGTTATGGTTGATCGCTAATTGCAATTTAGGAAAAATGAGCCCTAATGCTGTCCTTCAGCTGGAAGGATGCTGAAGGGGTCAGAAGCTGCTCGCTTTATCCTTTAGCTTTATCCTCTCCATGGTTTGTGCAGGTGCGGAGTGTACCACCTCATGCCTGGACCACAGTCACGAGCCCATCCTCCTGCGTGTGAACGAGACTGTGCAAGACATCCAGCACTGGATGAACCCTCAAAGAGTGAAGGTCAGTGCCTGACAATTTCACTGGCTGTATCCCTCGTTGCATGTTTGTGTGAGGTGAACAGCATGACCCGTGGTTCATTCAATGAGCGGAATACATGGAGGGTTCTGCCCTATAGAAAAGAACTCCTGATTTTTGTTGTGTCTTTGCACGTTGTTCTGGTAACATGGTGGCTTCCTCTCCAAGTTGCTTTTCCTCTATGATTTCCCAGTGAAAGTCAGTTCAAGGTAAAGGCCCCAGATTGCTGCGCTCAGATCCACCCAGCACCTACAGTGGGTCTGATCTGGAAACGTGCTTCATTACACAGGAAGATGTGACTGACAGTGGGAGAAAGGGCACTGGCCAGGTTTTATTTTCTTCCTTCTGTTCAGTATTTTACGTTCTTTGGGTGAGAGGGCTGGATTTTTCTTTGCTGCTTTTGGATGACAAAAGAAGCTGATACAGAGGGTATGTCATTTCCCGAACCAGCAGAGCTGGCTGAGTTCTCCCCCTCGCCCCTTTGCCCGCATGTGAGAGATGCCTGCTCAGCACAGCCCCTTCCAGAGGTCACCACTTCTTCCTCCTGCCAGCTGCAAATGCACAGGCAGCATTAACTGCTCACGGCACTCTGGCCTGTGCGTCCTCCAGCATCGGTCTGCCCTGATGGGGACATGCACACCCATGTACAGCGCCTTGCACACGCGCTCACGCATGCCACCTGCAGCAAATAGCTGCTTGGTTTCATGCCTACACTTGAGTACCAGTGGGACACACTCATCTGTCTCTTTCTGAAAACCCTCATGCCATCTGCACAAATGTTCCCTCCTGCCTTGAGATGCGTGTAACCAGGCGCTCGTGCCTGCGCAGTGTTTCTGCAGGTGTAGACATTTATCTGGACGGGCTTGAGCACCTGTCGGAAGGCGCTGGTACATCACATGTCACCAGGGTGCAGGTCACTGGTGGTGCTTGAGCAAACGCTATCGGCTTTTACATACTTTCACATACTTGGCCCTGGCTTTGCAGGAGTCCGTTTTACACAGGTGAACTCCATTTAGGAGGAGAACAAGCAGCCAACGCGACCCCAGCATGTCCCGAGCAGCTCTGGCAGTCTATTTGCTTCTCCGCACGCCTAAATGCGTACCCAGGGTTTGGGATTTTTGAAATCTGGCCTTGGCTGTGGCTAGTGAACTGCTCCGAAAATCTCCACCACTTTATACTTCCCTGTTTCACACAGAGAATAGAATTAATCCTGGAAAGGTGTGGGGAACCTGAAAGTTCAGAGAATATGACAAGCTCACAGTGTCCTTCCCAGCTTCCTATTCACTCCGGATACCGAGATTCTGTTACTGCCTCAGCATAGGCTTTGCCAAGTTTCTGGCATGAAACATAAAGAAAACCCCTCTCTCTGTATTAGGGGCAATTTCTCACTGGCCCTTTCCCGAGTGCTAGACTTTAAAGTGGTTTTGTAATTCATGGTGAAATAAAGTGACAGCTTCCCTCCTGTTCTCTGCTGTGCTCCTTCGTTTATTGATGCGGGTACGCAGAGAGAGCTGTAACGAGTTTTATACCTGCAGGTCTCTGGAGGGCTCATTAGGCAGCAGGGAAAACATATAGTAGTAAAGGGGGAGATGAGGGGAGTGAGGGATGGAGGAGAAATCATGGTTTCCAAGAGTACAGTGGTAAATAAGATCTTTTTTGCCCTGATGGTGAGGATCTTGCAAGAGCTTTAGGCTGCGAGCAGATACAAGTCTGACCTCACAAATACTTGTAACTAGAGGGTGAGATTTGGGCTGGAAAACTTGTGTTGGGAGGTGGAGGGGAGCCTTTAGGAGATGAGTGGGATGATGCTGAGACACTGCAGGGGATTTTTTTCATAGCTGTAAAATAACCATCTTCTTCAACTCTCCAGATAAGGGGATGTCACCCACAGGGAGCAGTGTCTGGTGGGGTGCCCCTGGGGGAAACGCTGCTGCTGGTGGGACCGGGGAGACCCTGGAGAGATGGGACTGGGATGCCTTAGGGGAAGATCCCCATGGCAATGTCTTATATGTGATTAATAATATGTGTCTCTATTTACGGTCAGTGACAGCTTGTGGTTGTGCCGTACGAGTAAAGTGAGCAGCTGGTTGCATTTACACGGCAAGCCTTTGTGGAGCTCAAAGTACTTGAGTGGTGCAAAGGAAACATTTTTAATTACTTAATTTCAGGCACAAGTAATGTACAAATGAGCGCGGTATCAGAAACAGATAAAGGCAGGACTGATGTGTGGAGCTTACCTTGGAGAGGACAGGCACAGATAAAACACAGGGAGAGCCGGCAAGAGAAAGAATTTGTGTGTAGCTGCTCAAGCAACAGCTGTTGTAGAAGCGAAGAGGGAAGAGGGACCCATCTCTCCTCTGAGGGTTGTTTAGAGCAGAGCTGTGCAAATCACTTGATTTTTTGGTTTGCTGGAAGTTCTGTCAAATTTAAAAAAAAAAATAATGTTTTCCGCTAATTGAAGTGACTCTTTTGTTGTTGTGATTTTTGGTGAACCGAAAAATTGGAGAAAAAAAACATGTTGGTTTGAACACAACTTAGCGTTTCGTTTCCAAGGATGTTTTAAAACTTTTTGTTTAATGAAAATGAAAAAAAAACTCTAGAAATTAAATGTCCTCTCAAAGGAACAACAACAACAGATATTTCATTTTGAAAAATGTCCAAATATTACTGTGTTTTTCAGAATTGGTTTAGGCTGAGTTGCTTTGTTGGGTCTGAAACAGTTTGCCAGAATCAGTGCTAGTTGGCAGTGTTTTCCAAATTAGTGTTTTCAGCAGCAAAACAAAAAAAAAAATCACCTGAAGTCTTCTGTGTGTCTGCTGTTCTGCAGTGAGCCACCTTCGGAGCAGCCATCGCCGTTCCCACGATGGTTTCCCACTTACCGTGCATGTGCGAGGGGCAGCGGCTGTTGAAGGCACCTATAGGTAGAGCTGCCAAGGCTGGCGGTGCAGGCAGTGGAGAGAAAAAAGTGACATGTCTCCAAAAGACAGCTTGACAGCTCTTTCCCAATGACTGCGGAGAAACGGGGCAGGCACCTGATTTCTCAGGGTGGCTGAATTTGAGTCTTTGCCTTTGTGCTGCGCGGGAACAGGCCAAGTACTGTGTGAGCACGTGCGTGCACGGGATAGCCTGGAAAGGGTGGGCATGCCCTCATCCTGCCTGCCAGTGGGGCTGAGTGTGGCCACGGCCCCTCAGCACATAGAATCATAGAATGGTTTGGGTTGGAAGGGACCTCAAAGATCATTCAGTTCCAACCCCACTGCCATGGGCAGGGACACCTTCCACTGCACCAGGTTGCCCAAAGCCTCATCCAACCTGGCCTTGAACACTTCCAGGGATGGGGCAGCCACAGCTTCTCTGGGCAACCTGTTCCAGTGCCTCACCACCCTCTGAGTGAAAAATTTCTTCCTTATATCCAGTCTAAATCTGCCCTCTTTCAGTTTAAATCCATTGCCCCTTGTCCTATCACTACATACCCTTTTAAAAAGTCCCTCTCCCATCTGGGACGCTGCCCTACTGCTGGCGATGTATTTTCCTACATGCGCAGCAAGCCCTGGGATTTTGGATGTCCAGAAGTCATTGAAGGGAATTCTCCCTAAATACTCCCCTATTCATTTAAGCTTTGCAGTTTTCCTCCCTCCTTCCCCTCTTCTCTGTCTTTGAGCGTCAGGCTCATTTTGCAGGCAGGGAAACTGAGTTACGGAGTGGTGAAATGACTTATTGCAGTGCAGCGGCTCAGCGCCTGGGAAGGGAGGGGTTCCCACCCTGTCTGTAGCTACAGAAGGAAACATCTACAAAGTGCTGTGTCTCCCCAGCCTTGGCAGCAGCAGCCAATCCCGTCACCACCATAACAGTAAGCCCACGGTTAATTGTCATGTTCATTTAGTGCCTGAGGAGAGAGTCAGCTGAGACCAGTAGATGCCAGTCCCTGGGCTTTAGCCCTGGGGAACACTTGACCCATCTAAGGTGGAGGAGAGCTCTCCACCCACCTCTCCTGTGGAAACCTAATCTCCTCCACAGCCCGCAAATGGTTGACATCATTGTGTTAGTCCCACCATGGGAGGGAAGTGCCGTGACCGGAGGCTTGGGTCTTCCCTCACAAGGAGAAAATGACAGCTTGATTTGCTTCCTTGGCTCTTTGTTGCCTACTGTGGCATCCCAGCTTCCTCTCCCTTCGCAGCAGATGGAGTCACAGCCACCAAACCGCAGATGGAGCTGGATGGTGTTTCTGGGATGGGGACAAGACCAAAGTCAATACACCCAGCTGCGCAGTGTGGCCCACATGGGAGGGCAGCTGTGCTGCAGAAGCTGATGCATGAGGGGAACCGGGGCCATGAGGGTGACATATGTCACTGCAGCCACTTGGAGCACGTGGCGGCATGGGGAAGGGATGGGGCTTGCAGATGGGCTTTATCCCTCATGCACCACCTGATGCATGTTCAGATGTGGTCCTTCCATCCACCTCTTACTGCATCCTTTGTTGGCCTCGTAAGTCCACCTTGCTTCCTGCGCACACTGCTGCTATCAGATCCCGGTCACCTCCCGCAGTACTGCTGCCATTACCCTTCCTCCTTGCTTTTTATACCATTGTTTATTGCAGTTGCCCCACGCAGCAACCTATGGCACTCTTGTGCCTGGTAGCACTGCAAGAGGTAGGAACGATGCCCAGCAACCCGAATCATCCCCAGTTTCTTAATCATCCAACCCAGGCTCTCCCTCTATGAACAACGTCTCTCCTGTCCCGTTGCACCATGTACCCCACAGTCTGAGGGCACAAACAGGCTGGGTGGTGGGAATTCAGGATTTGGAAGACCAGTGAGAGGAGTCAGGGCTGTGGCTGAGGACCCTTTCCTGAGCTTGTTCTGCTTCCAATTCTGTGAATGTTAGAAGGATTGAATTCATCTGGAGTAGCTTTAATGGTCTGCGCTAGCCTAGCAAAGTATCATCTGAGGAGAGGGTGAAGTAACTGGGACTAAGCCATTGGCAGGTACCACTCAAGAGTGATGTGATCCAGTGATTAATCTAGCACAAAGTCAACTGACTTTCCTACGCTATGGAGAGTGGCCTGGGGCTGCACTCCCTTCCCTGGAGGTCATCCAGCCAAAGGCTGTGCAGCCCTTGGGACTGAGATGACCTTGAGTGAGCACTCCGAGGAGAGCACTGTCCTAACAGAGACTTGGCCTTCCATCCATTCCTCTAAGGGAGGGTGCTGCGTTTTTAATACTGGGAAGGTCAGGAAAATAGTGCATCTTCTGCAGAGGATTGCTCTCACTTGGAAACCTCCTCTCTTAAGAGCCTGTTTCAGGGCTATTTGGCTTCTTTTGTTAGTTCCAAATGCTCACACACGTTCACACATATCGAGAGGTTTTGTAAACGTTGATGCTTCTTACCAGGGGAACATGAGATGCTCTTTGCAAGTGCACTTCTACTTATTGTCTGGCTGGCCTTGGATATGAGAGGCAAATGACTGAGTTTTTCTACTTTGGTTTAATTCTTGGGTTCAAATGCTCTTGAACTGCTTCCTTTACTCTCCCCCCTCCCGGTCTGTTGACTAGCCTTGTTTATTTTGAAACCTAGAAAAAGTTTCCTTTCTTTTCCCTCTGAAGTGCAATAAACAGAAGAGGGAAAGAAAAATAAATCAAAAAAAATCTCACCATTTGTGGCAGGCAACAGCCTGGAAATCTCCAGCTGTCTGTCAAGAGTGCGCTGGGGGAACGTCTGACACCGCAGGGCCCCCGCACCTTGCAGCCTCCCTCCCGGGGCATAAACAACGTCCTCCCCCCTCGCCCGGCTGCTCCTCCAGTCACACAGACGGGCCCTGTTGCGAGGCAGGTGGGGCAAGCCGGGCTTGACTAATAGTGGAAAATCCGAGAGCATCGGAAAGATAAACAGCCCAAGTCAGATAGTATAAAAGTCCTTTTTCCAGCACACGCCAGGTAAGCCTCAAATGACAGAAACTGTAAAAACATGCTGAGGTTCCCTTGCAGATGGATTAAATTAGCCCTCAAGTAAACAGGGGAAGGGATGGCTTGTGCGTCAGGTCTTCCCAAATGTTAATCCCTTCCTTCTCCAGGCCTCCATCCAACCCCGACCCTGTCTTTGGGTAAGCACCTAGGTGTTCATCTTGCCCAACTGGACATTGTAGTGTTTCATCCATGGATGATAACACAAAATGAAAATTGTGCCTGATGTCTCAGTGAATGAATGGGAGTCCTATCTCCTAGACCTCCATGGTATTGAACCACCACCTCCATGGCCTGGCCAAACTTTTCAACCACTCTTAAAATCTAAGTCTCCATGACTAAAGGCAAAAAATGACTGCCCTAGGTGTGTCATCATTGAGTGGGCTGGTCATCGTTTTTGCCCAAAACTAGGCTCTCCAGAATTTATTATAAATACAGAAATTATTATAAAGCTCATATAATGTAGCAGATGATGCTGTCCTTTCTGGGAGTCATTCTGAAGGCATGTAGTGGGAGGTGCTTCCATCTAAGATCTAAAAGATGGTGCGAAAACGTATCTGAAAGTCCACCATTAGCATCTTCAAGAAGCACAGATGTGATGGGTAGTGAAAGAGAACAATGTTTTGCAGCACCAAAGAAATCCCTCAATTCCTAAAACGTCTCACTCCTTCCCAAGAGCAAGACAGTGGACCTGTGCCTTCACCTTTCCCTGCCATGTTCCTCCACCATGAGTGAAATATTTGACATGACATTTTAGGAGAACCTTAAATATTATTTTAATCTCGAATATTCTGTTATTGCAAGTGTCAAGTCCAACACTTCTTGTAAATACCTGGAGGACAGCCAGGTCCTGAGAACACAAGAGGTGTTAGGAACTGTACTTCATTGGTTAAGTACAGGAGAGCCATAGGAGCCAGCATGCTGACTTTGTCTTAACCTGTTTTGTTGTGGTTTTTTTTTCCTTCTCCTCTCCAGAGCGTTGTCTGCACGGCAGGACTCAAGTGGTACCCTCACCCTTCCCTGATTCATTGTGTCAAAGGCTGCGAGGTGAGCTTTCGCGTTAGCTCCGGTGCTCCATGCTTGCCCTCCTAAATGTGATGGTCACAGCTGGGTTGTAAATGCTGTTTTTCAAGTGGGGCAAACAGGCTTTGCCCTGACTTAGCCTGTCAGACAGACTGTGATCTCCTGCAGGAGTTCTGACACTCAGTGGTGAAATGGGTGGTTTTCCTAGAGCTGATGGTTGAGTGACTCTTGCAGGAGTGAAATGATCAAGTGGCTCAATGACATTGGTAGACAGAATTTCCCAGGATCTGGGAACTTCTGGGAAGTTGCAAAACCTTCAATTGTTTTTCCTTGATTTTGACATCTTGTTAGAGGAACAGTTCTTTCCAAGACCAGCTAGGCTTTGGGTGTTGGTGGGTGCAGGTAAACTTTAGGAAAGACAGAGGCAGAAATGATACCACTGGTAGCTGGACAGTGAGTGAATCACACATCCCTCCGCTGTGCACCTCTGTCTGAACCAGAAGAAAAATGTCTGAAAAACGCAGTGATTTCAGCTGTGATACATTTTTACAGTCTTGTATGTTATGTGAAAAAAGCAATTATTTTGTTTCTGCTGGTAACTGCCTTTGAAAAGTCTGGGAAGTCTTAAGATGCTTCCAGTGGTTAAACAGGGCTGGGGCACCTCGCTGGGTCATGGCACTCATGTGGTTTCCATCATAACAGCCCTCCACAATCTCACCCGTGTCAAGAAGTCAATCCTTGTGGCACCTCTGCAAGGCTGGGAAGCTTCATGCCCATTTTAGAAATGGGGTAACTGGCAGGCAGAGGGATAGATGGCTGCTTTGGTTACAGGGACGGGCAGTGGAAGGGCTGTGTCTTGACCCCACATCTCCTGACTTTCTGCACTACTGACTGCACTCACAGCACCCAGTAACCCAATTTTACAAGCGCATTGAAGTTATTTGCCCGGAGTGGCAGAACATGGCACACAACTCCTAAATCTGACACGAAACTCTAGACCACATTGCTGTGCAATGCGATTTGTCTTGAAGTGAAAGACAGGTTTCCTTCGCATACAAATGTTGGGCCCAAGAGGGTAATAACTCTCCAACAATGTAATAGTTTCTGTCTAGTTGTTCCCTAAATGAAAAGCATTCTGCTGTCAGTGCTGTGAATGTCATAAGCCATCTCACGCATTACATTCATGCAGGCTGGCTACGCGCCCCTATTCTCCAAAGAGAGCTAAAATAACATCCAGCGACCATTAAGAAATGCCATTCAGGTGCTGATGCACCATTGGGTATCTATTCTCCTGCTGTTTAAGGATAGTTGTTACTGAGGCAAACTTTGCAATGATGTAATAATTTACCAGAAGCCATTATTACTGACAGGCTTTTTCTCAGCATTTGCTTCCCTTCCATCATTGTTAATTGCCAGACCCCTCTACATCAATAGGAACTTTCTTCTTTTCATCATTCGTTCAGCAGTGTCACTGCATCACAATCTATCATCTTGGAAGGCTTTGCCCAGACAATTGATAATGGCCCCTAGCATCATTTTCAGAGCGCGATGCTTCCAGGATCCACGAATGGGCCAGTGCTTGTTCTCTGGCATTAAGATTTCAGAAGAAATGCCATCCTCACCAAGCCTTTTGTCACAACTGTGGAAACAGGGACTAATAAGCCAGTAGGTCAATAATACCGGGCCATTAAGCTGATACAATCCCTAATGTATTAATATCCTTAGCATTAGGGAGGGTTCCCTGAACAGAAGGCTGTTAAGCGGGGCATTATTTTCCTCTTGGCAATCACAGTGGCATCCCAGACTGCTGCTGCAATGTGATTTTTTGTCGCTCCCTAGTGGCAGGAATAGAGGTTTATGAGTCAGCCCCGTGCTTCTTGGTAGCTCGCTTAGGTGTTTCAGTAGAAAACTAGTCCCTCTGGGCTACCTGGATAGTACTCCAAAAATATAGGAGCACTAAGATACGCATGAAGACCTATAGAGACCTCACCCTCCACAGCCAGGCCTGCAAGGTCTCCAAATGAGGATTTGCTACCAAATCAGAATAGATGCTATTTGTGCCATTCTTCTCCTCCAAAGGACTGACTTGCCTACTCTGCGCCACTTTGAGTGAAAAGCAAATTCTTCCACTTGTTTCTTGTACTGATTGTCCGGTGTTCATAGGTGTAGAGTACAGGCATAGGCATGGGAAATGAAAGGCAAACCTTTCTTGACAAGCAAGCACAGCCAGGCAATACAAGGGAAACCTGGAGAAGTCTGCAGAATGTCTTGGGAGGTTGGGAAAAGTTCATGTTTTTGAATATGACCAGTTTGGCGTAAAAATGTCTCTCCATTTACTTATAAATCATTCCCTTTTAACTCTTAGAGACCAATTAAATTGGAAAGGCGTTTGCACGTCAAAGTCTTTACCTGTGTAAAAAAAGTTAATCTCTGTGAAAGTCAATGGAGTTAAACCAGTTTACAGGGATAGGAGCCTTACCCTGTAACTCTGACTTCCTTGTCAGTGTTTGTAGTATTTGTGCGTAGCTAAACAAGTGACACACAATGAGGCGGTTACCTCCTGGTAGTCCTGCTCTGGTCTGATATTGCCATCATTGCCTGGATTTCCTATACCCTGATAGAAATATTCGAATTTGCAAAGCATCAGCAGTAAAAGCCTTCATCTGCACCGCTCCACAGTGTCCATTTCGATAGCGATGAGCATGGCCATGGCTCACTCTGGGGAGAGCAGGGCAAGTTCTCATTGCTGGTTCTTCAGGTACTTACCATCAGGGAGACTCTGGCACTTCAATTGCTGCAAAATCCTCCCAGAAAACCTCCACAAGCCTCCTCACCCACTCTGCAATGATGCCTTCCTGTAGGAAAGTCCCTGGTGTGTTTTTCATGGTGCAGAATAAATGAATTTTCCAAAGAGCAGATAAGATAGGAAGGGCCCCATGAGCATCGCGTGTTAGGAAGTGTTACAGAGATACTACTATGCTCTCTGCTGAGCATCCATTTTTCTGAGCTTTCAGAGCTGCCTGGGTTTCTCATACTAAGCATGGGCCTTTTTTTAGCATCAGGCACAGTTTTGACTTCCAAGAAAGACTTTTGTACTTGCTGACCAAGAGGACTCCAACGTGGGATGAAAAACTGGACTTCAAGCCTTTTCTTCAGAATTGTGATTATTATTCAGGTCCTGTGCAGCACATAGACCAGTGATCACATTGCGCAGACTACTGACCACATTTTCTTTCTCGAGGTGATTTTTGAATTTTACTGAATAACTTTCCACAACATCCCTCTGAATAATTGCCGTTATCCCAGCTCTGAGCTGTGGAGAGGAGGGAGATGAAGTGTCATGGCCAAGGTCACACGCAGTCACTGCTGGTCGGAGAGCGACAGCCCTCATTGCTGACACTTGTTGCACAGTTAGGAGAACTGTGGTGGAAAGTACAGCTATTAAAAGCCAGCCACTTTTGCTGCTATGCATAACCACCTTCTTATCCTGCATAGTTTTGGAAGGTTAGCTTAAAATTATCGAAAGGTGCCACAATTTTAGATGCCTTGATGCTGTCTCTGGGCCTAGTCAAATTAGTATTCCTGAAGCATCATCATATGTGGGATGTGAAAAGCCAACAAGCGCTCATTTCCCTTCCATCTAGTGTCCTTTTCTTTTCTGTCTGCTTTGAAAGGAGAGGACAATAATTATCTTACTTTTCAGGGCAGTTGGTAAAGCTACAAACTATACGACTCCTTCAAGGCTTCATCTATTCCTTCTGACGTATTGTTTACAGGTTTTATCTGTGTCCATGTTCTCAGTCTTTTTCTGCTTTTTCCTTTTTCAGCCTTTCATGGGAGACAACTACTGTGACTCCATCAACAACCGAGCCTTCTGCAACTATGATGGTGGGGACTGCTGTGCCTCAACAGTCAAGACCAAAAAGGTAGGGATACCCCTTCCTCTTTTCACTGTGAGTTCCTTGGTGTGTGCTGCTTTGCTCCCGGAAAAAATGTATTTTTGCTAGAATAGGGGAGATCCAAGGTCTCAGAAGGACCTTTAGTCCAGGCATCAGCTCACCATAGGTACTATTCTTGTTGGTTCATTTTGAAGTTCTCTCTTGATATGCATGTGCATTTCCCATCATAACCCACCGTGTATCTGTGCAAAGCAGGTTCTTAAATAAAGTAGTCAGAGGCATTCATTAACTCTTATTGTAAATAAACCCTAGCTTCTCTATAGGCAAAAGCTGGCTCCCTCCAAAACCCTGGGGCATGTTCATCAGAAAAGCTGCACCTACTGCTCAGGAGATCTTCATCCAGAAACACTGAGAAGGATATTTGCCCATATATGTATATTTGCCCATCCTGATATCCACTATTGATGCTCAAAAGGGAAACTAAAGTTTAGGAGTCATTAGGAAAAGAACAGAGACCAAAATGAAAGCATCACTGTAGGTCTGTACTTTGATCCATGTGTACACACGTGTGCATGGCTCACTGACCGTCCCATCTCCAAACGGGCAGAGTGGGACAGAGAGGAGTGTGGAGCAGGGCAGCAGGGCTGAGCAGAGAGGTGAAATGTCTTCTGCACAAACAGAGACCACATAGACCAGAACCTGCAAATCTTGCAAAAGAGACAGTGGGCATGGTTAGTGACAGAGATTTGTAAAAGAGTGAAAGAAAGTGAGAGAAAGTGCTTGTTCGCACAATGTGTGTTTGAATGACAGGCTGCATTGCCACGGAGCATTATTAAGAACGCAAATATATTTGAAACCAAAAAGAGAATAGGCATATTCGTGGAGGTTAGCTCCATCAGTGTCTGTTAGGTACTGTGATCTGGTTGCCATTTCTGGCTCAGTAATATCTAAACCATTGACTGCTCGAGCCTGGGGAAGGGTCTCTGTACACATCTCCCTTTTTTTAAGCTTTTTTGACACCCGTTTCTGGCCACCATCAGAGGCAGTGACTGGAGCGATGGAGTTTGTGGTTTGAAGCAGTACAACATTTCATGTGTTTCTAACCAGGATAGATTTTGAACTTGTTTCCCAAAGAAAGGAAAGAAAATTTTAGCCTCTGCCATGTGAGATCTTTATCTTGTCTTTGAGTGTAGACCAGAACGAAAGCCCCTCTATGTTAAGTATCTGATAAATGTTAATAAATAACAAAACTTGAGGGAGCTTGGGCTCAGCATACGACATCATCCATTTCAACCATCTGAGGAAGAAAGTCCTCTCTACCACAGCTGAGAGACTGAAGACCTTTCTGCAGGGAGCAGTCCTTTCTGAGATAGCTTTGGCTGGAGGCTTCTTTTTCTTGGTTCAGCCAAAGATCCCTTGTCAGGACAGCACTGTGGGCTGTCTCTGGCCCATCTGGGAACACTGGGGAAGGGAAGTGGACATGTCTTGGCAAGCGGAAGGAATTCATTTCGCCACTGAGGAAGAGGTGGGGGAAGAGGTAGTTTTCCTAAATGTGCTTTTTTGGACAGGTTTTCCCCTCTATTGCTGTGTTTCTCTTGTGAGTGTCCCTGTGAGCTATGTGCTGGGAGGGAAGCATGGGCAGGTGAGCTTCTCTGTTCTCCAAGGGTGGAGTAGGGCATGGAGAGCCCATACAGGGCTCCCTGCAGAAACAACCACTGCAGAGATGAGCTGGGTGACAAGCAGTGGCTCATCTTCAGTGTTGTCTCCAAGAAGAGATTCTTATCTCTGGCTGATTTTCCACCTCCTTGGGAGGAGCAGCCCAAGGGCAGGCACAGCTTGGTCGTTGGCCTCTTCTGGGAGGGCAGAGCTGGAAGTGCCCAGTAGCTCAGCATGGCGTAGGTCTTCTCCTACAACAGCTTGTCTGGGAAACTTTATCTTGCTGCCTCCGGGCTTGAGAGCAGGGAATGAAAAGTCCCAAGAGGTGCCAGAGGAATGGAAGTGAAGTGGCTGGGAGGGGATCGACACAAATTAGCCCCATCAGGACGGGAGCTAAGGGCACAACGTATCGCTGGAGTGGGGACGGGACTGAAACACAAGGGATGTGAGTGCCGAATTAAGGGGGAGAGGGATAGGATTGGGAGCAGAATTTATTGCTGGGCAGGGATTTGAGACGGAGTAGGATCTGCACAGAGCCGTGAGCACTTACCAGCCAGGCAAGTCACGCTCAAAATATCTGCTGCTTCGCTGCCACCCAGAAATGAAGTGACCACCCAAGAGGGGGAAAGTGCTTTGTAGCCCAGTCAGTTACTGGTCTCTCTGCTAAAACTGCCCGATGCAAAGGGCAAGTGGTTCAGAGACAGGCAGCTGGTCACACATCTCCCCCATGGAGAGGGAGGTTTTGTAGCTCTTTGGAGATAAGGCTGCTGCCACTGACTTCAGTGGGAGCTGTATCTTTGTGACTGGGGGAATTAGATTTGCCCTAGTTTGTACATTAAAACCACCCATCGTAGAGATCCCAGGGTTTGAGGAGTGAACCACAGACCCCATCGCTTCCTTGGCACGCATTCAGCTTCCAAAATCTTCACCGCTCTCCCAAAACACCAACAACATCGCAGAAGCTGAACGAGGCACTTGGGAGGAGTGAGAAAACCACCTTCTCCTTGGACCTTCCACACCAAAACCAAGCTACTAAGTCCCAGTTTATTACATTTATAGGGCAAAGGAGGGAATAACAACCCAGCCGGCAGGGCCGTGGTGTCCCAGCCGAAGGGGTGGTGGGCAGCACCTCTCTGCCTGCGGAGCGGCCGCCGACCCTGCGGCAGCAGCTGTAGGGCCGCGGGTCTCGGCTCTGCGAGTTATTTTCCCGTCTGAGGCCTTTGACTGGGACCAGATTTCAGGCAAGGCTGTTCAAATACAGCCCTCCCTTTGAAGAGGTTTATGAGTGGAGCGTTACAGGAGATATTCCAAAGGGAAAAACAATGAAAGGTGAGAGAAAAGGGAGCTGAATAAAAATACTCCGCATACCAAATCCTTCCAGCACAGTTTGCCACCTACTTAAAAAGGCACAGTTTTAAAATACACATTGGGTGTAAAAGCCAAAAACCTGGAGGAGACATAGGGAGGGGCGAGTCCAGCTCTGTTAATTCCAATACCAGATGAGGATGTATTTTCATACGGTTGTAGAAAGAGTGAGACACATGAAAGAGACTGCTTTGCTCCTTTTCTTTCAGGGTTACATACTATGTGGCAGATGTGTCAGTCTTTTAAAGCCCCTGCAAGTTTACCCATAAACGTCTAACAGTTATGCAACACCTGTTTTTCTCCCAAAATGTCACAGGACGTTTTACAAGCTTTAGATTTATCATCTTTTCACCGTTGCAGCCATCGCTGAAGTGACACATGGTTCACATTTAACAGAACATAGCAACTCCGCACGTTATTTTAGGAAGGGGCTGAAGATTAACATTGCATCATGTGAAGATTCAGGAGTTAACAGTCAAGTGAGAGCTGGCTTCAGATCTTTAATGTCCACAAACTGTCAAGACTTCAGTTTCACCGCAATCCCACTACCTTCCCAAAAGCACTTTTCAGCTGCCCAGATTGCTGTGAACCAGGCTGTGGGAAAGCAGAATTATTCAACCCATATTCACTTGAATTCTGAGCCCTCTGACTTAATGTGAGGTTTTGCACGCCCCTGTTTTGTTGCCCTGAAAACACACAAGAGGCTCTCATGCAGCACTCGGTCAGGCCACGTTTTCCCTTTGCAGTTGAGCGTTGGCAGCAAACGACCTTGTGCGTTTCTGCAGCGAGAGGGGAACGGAGCAGTGTGACTTATCTGACCAACCGCCGACTAATCAGCGCTGCTGCTTAGGCAGGAAATAATGAGTATTTGCCCTGCACTATTCACCATCAGGCTAGAGAGCTTAAAAGAAATCGTTAAAGACCTCTTTTGAATGCTACAAAGGGCAACGAATAAATTCAGTCATATGCTGGGCATAAACTTGAGGCAACTGCAGTCAGCAAGCGGGAAAAGGAGACATTCATCAGCTTAATTATTTGTTGTGCGCTAATTGATCAGAGTCCCCCTGCAGCGGGCAAGAAGCCAGGGCTGGCGCAGGGCCGAGTGCCACCCAAGGAAGCGGGGACGCGCATCCTGCGGCCGCGGGCAGGTGGGCGCGTGGGGAGCAGGGACATGACCCAGGAGCAGCTTTGAGAGACGGGAAGGCCATTGCCGGCCAACCTCCAAGGGAGAGAAAGCTTCTGTTGTGTATCTGGAGGGGATAAAGTCTTCCGTGAAGGACAAAGCAAAATCCCATCTCCTTTTAATCTTCCTCCCCTCTGACCCAGCACAGGTTGCCAGCTCCCTTCTGCCTGGCGGCTCTAGGAAGCTGCTTCTTGCTTTGTATCCTGCCGCAGATAAAAGAAGATACTATTTTTTAAAGCATTAAATACGTGACACTGCTAAAGTGAGAAAAATAAATAACCTGGGCATAACTGGCTGTCTCTGGGCTGGCGGCTGCCTGCGAGGAACTCCTGGGGTGTGCAGCGTTGCGGGGAGAGAGAGGTTATGGCTGTTTCTTTCCTGTTAGTTTCAGGAAATCTTCTCTGCAGTCGCTGTTCTCCTTCACTTCTTTTCTCTTCCGCTTTCCTTTTACAAGTTTTCCCTGGACAAAGCTGTCTAGGAAGGCCTCGCAGAAAGCAGAAATGTCTCTCTTTAGGCTCCGTGTATGTACTTCGTTCCAGACGCGGATCGCAGATTTGCTTAGTTGAAGATCCCGCAGCCTGGTCCCTGCAAATTGAAAGGGAATTTGCCAGTTTAAAATTCCCCCAACTTAAACCGTTTGAAAGGGCAACTTTCATCTGTCTTTCCTCTCTGCCTTTCCTTTTCATCACATAAGGAGTAAACCTACCTCTCCCGTGAGAAAAAACCTGTCTCATTCAGTTATCACTCGGGTTTTCCCTCAATGCCTTTGCCCCACAGCACTTAGAAAAGAAAAAGAAAAATTGTCCTGGCAAAAATTCCCGTC